CTAATCTTTCTTCCTTTCTAACTAATATATCTTTCTTTCTAACTAATCTATCTTTCTTTCTTTCTAACTAAGATAGATAGATATTTCTTTCAAACTAATCTTCCTTTTTTCTTTCTTACTAATCTTTCTTTCTTTGTATTCATTCTTTCTTTCTTTCTTTCTCTTTCTTTCTACCTACTCTTTCTTTCTTTTTTCTAACTAATCTTTCTTTCTTTCTAACTAATCTTCATTCTTTCTAACTAATCTTTCTTTTTTCTAACTAATCTTTCTTTCTAACTAATCTTTCTTTCTAACAAATCTTTTTTCTTTCTAACAAATCTTTTTTCTTTCTAACTAATCTTTCTTTCTTTCTTTCTAACTAATCTTTCTTTCTTTCTTTCTCTCTTTCTTTCTTTCTTTCTTTCTTTCTTTCTAACTAATCTTTCTTTCTTTCTTTCTAACTAATCTTCGTTCTTTCTAACTAATCTTTCTTTCTTTCTTTCTTTCTTTCTTTCTTTCTAACTAATCTTTCTTTCTAACAAATCTTTTTTCTTTCTAACTAATCTTTCTTTTTTTCTACCTAATCTTTCTTTCTTTCTAACTAATCTTTCTTTCTTTCTGTCTTTCTTTTTTTCTAACTAATCTTTCTTTCTGTCTAACTAATATTTCTTTCTTTCTAACTAATCTTTCTTTCTTTCTTTTGATCTAATCTATCTTTCTTTCTTTTAACTAATCTTTCTTTTTTTCTTTCTAACGAATCTTTCTTTCTAACTAATCTATCTTTCTAACTAATCTTTCTTTTAACTAATCTTTCTTTTTTCTTTCTAACAAATCTTTCTTTCTTTCTTTCTAACTAATCTTTTTTCTTTCTTTCTGACCAATCCTTTTTTGTTTCTAACTAATCTTTCTTTCTTTTTAACTAATCTTTCTTTCTTTCTTTTTAACTAATCTTTCTTTCTTTCAAACTAATCTATCTTTCTTTCTTTCTAACTAATCTATCTTTCTTTCTTTCTAATTAATCTTTCTTTCTTTCTTTCTAACTAATCTTTCTTTCTTTCTAACTAATCTGTCTTTCTTTCTTTCTAACTAATCTTTCTTTCTTTCTTTCTTTTCTTTCTAACTAATCTTTTTTCTTCTAACTAATCTTTCTTTCTTTCTAACTAATCTTTCTTTCTTTCTTTCTAACTAATCTTTCTTTCTAACTTATCTCTCTTTCTTTCTAACTAATCTCTCTTTCTTTCTACCTAATATGTCTTTCTATTTTTTCTTTCTTTCTTACTAATCTTTCTTTTTTCTTTCATTCTATCTTTCTAGTCTTTCTTTCTTTCTTACTAATCTTTCTTTCTTTTTTCTTTCTTACTAATCTTTCGTTCTTTCTTTCTTTCTTACTAATCTTTCTTTCTTTCTAACTAATCTTTCTTTCTTTCTTTCTAACTAATTAATCTTTCTTTCTTTCTAACAAATCTTTCTTTGTTTTCTCTTTCTTTCTTACTAATCTTTCTTTCTTTCTACCTTTCTAAATAATCTTTCTTTCTTTTTTCCTTACTAATCTTTCTTTCGTCCTAACTAATATATCTTTCTTTCTTTTCTTTCTAACTAATCTTTTTTTCTTCTAACTAATCTTTTTTTCTTCTAACTAATCTTTTTTCTTTTTAACTAATCTTTCTTTCTAACTAATCTTTCTTTCTTTCTAACTAATTTTTCTTTCTTTTGTTCTATCTTTCTCTCTTTCTTTCTTTCTTTCTTTCTTTCTAACTAATCTCTCTTTCTTTCTACCAAATCTTTCTTTTTTCTTTCTTTCTAATCTTTCTTTCTTTTTTCTTTCTTTCTTTCTAACTAATCTTTCTTTCTAACTAATATATCTTTCTTTCTTTCTAACTAATCTGTCTTTCTTTCTTTCTTTCTAACTAATATATCTTTCTTTCTAACTAATCTATCTTTCTTTCTAACAAATCTTTCTTTCTTTCTTTCTAACTAATTTCTTTCTTTCGTTCTAGCTTTCTCTCTTTCTTTCTAACTAATCTCTCTTTCTTTCTACCTAATCTTTTTTTTCTTTCTTTCTAATCTTTCTTTTTTCTTTCTTTCTTTCTAACTAATCTTTCTTTCAAACTAATCTATCTTTCTTTCTTACTAATCTTTTTTCTTCTAACTAATCTTTCTTTCTAGCTAATCTGTCTTTCTTTCTAACTAATATATCTTTATTTCTTTCTTTTCTTTCTAACTAATCTTTTTTTCTTCTAACTAATCTTTTTTTCTTCTAACTAATCTTTCTTTCTTACTAACTAATCTATCTTTCTTTCTAACTAATCTATCTTTCTTTCTAACTAATCTTTCTTTCTTTCTTTCTTTCTAACTAATTTCTTTCTTTCGTTCTAGCTTTCTCTCTTTCTTTCTTTCTAACTAATCTTTCTTTCTTTCTTTCTAACTAATCTCTCTTTCTTTCTACCTAATCTTTTTTTTTCTTTCTTTCTAATCTTTCTTTTTTCTTTCTTTCTAACTAATCTTTCTTTCAAACTAATCTATCTTTCTTTCTTTCTAACTAATCTTTTTTCTTCTAACTAATTTTTCTTTCTAACTAATCTGTCTTTCTTTCTAACTAATATATCTTTATTTCTTTCTTTTCTTTCTAACTAATCTTTTTTTCTTCTAACTAATCTTTTTTTCTTCTAACTAATCTTTCTTTCTTACTAACTAATCTATCTTTCTTTCTAATTAATCTGTCTTTCTTTCTAACTAACAACATTTTCTTTCTTTCTAACAAATCTTTCTTTCTTTTTTCTTTCTTTCTAGCTAATCTTTCTTTCTTTCTACCTTTCTAAATAATGTTTCTTTCTTTCTTTCTAACATTTCTTTCTTTCTAATCTTTCTTTTTTTCTTACTAATCTTTCTTTCTTTCTTACTAATCTTTCGTTCTTTCTTTCTTACTAATCTTTCTTTCTACCTAATCTATCTTTCTTTCTTTCTTTCTACCTAATCAATCTTTCTTTCTTTCTTTCTTTCTTACTAATCTTTCTTTCTACCTAATCTATCTTTCTTTCTTTCTTTCTAACTAATCTTTCTTTCTTTCTTTCTAATCTTTCTTTCATTGAAACTAATCTTTCTATCTATCTATTATTTATCTATCTTTCTAACTAATCGTTTTCTTTCTTTCTAAATATTCTTTCTTTCTAGCTAATCCATCTATCAAACTTCAAACTACTTTAAACTTGTTTAAACTCTCTGGTTCGTCTTTTACAAGCCAACTTAAAGTTTGTCTCATCAATTTTTTTTTCTAGTTTGTATTATATCTGTTTTCTATTTGTTGAACATCAATTACATTTTTACCCTTAGATGGGTTTGGAATTTTTTGTATTACCTAATTCGGGAAACAGACACAGTCTCTATATGATGATATCTAGGTGAAAGAGTCTCTATGTGATGGGATTTATCTGACCTGGGTGACGTGAGGCCGCTAGCAGACGGTCGGTTTAGCCAGTCTGTCTGCTTCCTGACCTGAGCCCCAGATTGTCATGGTTGAGCTCTAAGAATATATGCCATATTACTAGAGAGAAGAGCAGCACCATCCCAGGAGGGATGAATACCATCTCTTTTCAACAGGTCAGGTCTGCCCCAAAAACTTTTCCAATTGTCTATGAATTCTATATTATTTTGCGGACACCACTTAGACAGCCAGCCATTGAGTGAACACAATCTACTAACCATCTCATCACTCCTGCCAACAGGAAGGGGGCCAGAGCAAATTACAGTGCCTGACATCGTACTTGCGAGTTCACACACCTCTTTAACATTAATTTTAGTGATCTCCGACTGGCGGAGTCGAAACATCATTAGTGCCGACGTGAATAATAATCTTAGAGTATTTAAGTTTAGCATTAGCCAGCACTTTTAAATTTGCTTTGATGTCTGGCGCTCTGGCTCCCGGCAAATATGTGACTATGGTGGCTGGTGTCTCTATTTTCACGTTCCGTGTAATAGAATCAACAATAACTAGGGCACATTCAACAGGATTCTCAGTGGGTGTTTCACTGAGTGGGGAGAATTTATTTGTTGTGGTAATCAGAACAGAAGAGCGGTGTTTTGTCCCGCGACTATAGCATCTCACGGACACCCAGTTGCCCTGCTGCACGGGCTCTACTTCAGCCGGAACCGAACAATGTACAGTGTTCACTAAACTAGTCGCATCCAAAGCCGTATCTAAAGCCCTTGCACTTTCACTATCCTCAATTAAAGTTTGGATGCGTGTCTCTAGTTCTGAAATCTTCTCCGTCAGCCTGACTATCTCCCTGCATTTATCACATGTAAATCCTGTGCTGACAGAGAAAGCTATGCTATACATGTTACATGAAGTGCAAGTGACAATAAGAGGAGGAGACATGACTTACCGTGTTTGCTGACTGATCACTACTTACCACAGCTTTGATGGATTTGTAAAAGGCGCGAGCGAAATAAATAAATAAAGAGCACACGGATGGCATGGCACAGCTTACAGGCTAGCGAATTAATAGCGTGTTGTACTAGTAACGATTTAGATTGAAGCTAGCGATGTCAGGTTAATATGTGATGAGTAAGTTATATTTTAGCAGTATAAACAACAGGAAATGATAGTAAATAATGATTCAAGAACGGAAAGATATACGAAGCTACAGACGCAAATCAACTCAGCAGAGCAGCGTGGCAGACAGGATCAATCGAGATCGGCCCGAGTGAGTGTGTGTGTGAGAGAGATTGCGTAAGTGTGTGTGTGTGTAAGATTGAGTGAGTTTGTGTGTGTGTGCGTGTGTGTGTGAGAGAGATTGTGTGTGTGTGTGTGTGTGTGTTTGATTGAATGTGTGTGTGTGTGTGTGTGTGTGTGTGTGTGTGTGTGTGTGTGTGTGTGTGTGTATATAATTCAACTAGGCTGCATAGTTTAGTTCAGCCAGAACCGGGAACACTCCCCATAAATCCTGATGTACTCGTTACATCATAAGGAGGATGGCGCCTACGCTACTACTACGCGCCTACGCTAATATTAGTCGCTCTGGTTATCCGAGGTTTGCCGCAGTCCGCCGGATCCAGGCCGCATCCAGATTTGATGAAGGACCAGCGCCCGGACAAGACGACGACACCGCAGTCCTGAAGTGTCCAACAGTCTCTCCCCTGTTCCTGAAGTCCGCCGGATCCCGGCCGTATCCAGATCTGATGGTGGACCTGCACCTGGACACGTATTACAACAACAACTTTATAATATTTGAATGATATAGTACGCCTCACTTATTTCTGGTTATGTTTAGTTTCAATGTACTGTGGTCAATGAGATGTCAGTGTTTGTTGTGCAAGTAGTCCATTGTAAAAATAATGCAGTTCATTTCAATTATTCAGCCTTTATGAGCAAGAAACTAATGATTTCAGTTTTGATTTCAGCATAACAGTTTGAGCGAATGCAGTGATTAATATTCATGAACCCGGCAGCTCCTCAATCCTTAGTGCGGTTTATATTCTTATTAGCAGCAGAATGCGTAGTAGTATTATTATCTTATCAGTGTTATTGTACGTTTTTTTTTCCACAGAAACACTGACCGACAATGTCCTAATTTCAGTTAAAATGGCAAATCTGCATTCTTACGTTCTCATTCAGACTGTTACCAAGCTTGAGTTGAGTGAGAAGCCCCCCAGTAATCGTGTCCCACTGTTATTTCTGCACATGAGAGTTTTGGTTTGTATTAATGTCCTCAGACAGCATCTGCTGGGCTGAGCGTAATCCAACATCGGCTCCATGTTGCCTATTGTTTGAGTCTCGAGATTGCGTTTGTAAACTGTATCTCACTACTGTGTCTATAGACTGCGTGTTTGCATGAACTGATGATTGCTGGACTGACCTGCTCTCACACACTGCGCTCTCCCCGCCGGTGACGCCACGAACATGAACAGCTCCTCATTCACTGCTCCCCCCCATCAAGCGGACGGCACAGGCTGTGAGGATGAGAGAATGGGACGCAGATTAGCAGTATTGCGCTGCCTTCTGTGATGATGAAAGAGCGTTGTTTGAGAGACAACAGGAATGTATTGAAAGCACATGTTGAGTAAGAAAAATAGGATAAAAGTGGGAAAGGAAAGGGAGAAGAAGATAATTAAGTGCCTTACAGGTGTCCTTGCTCGGTGGAGTCTTTACCCGAGTCGGTCTTCACACGAGGAGGCTGAACACGAGGAGGCTGAACACGAGGAAGCTGAACACAAGGAGGCTGAACACGAGGAGGCTGAACACGAGGAGGCTGAACACGAGTCGGTCTTCACACGAGTCGGTCTTCACACGAGTCGGTCTTCACACGAGGAAGCTGAACACGAGGAGGCTGAACACGAGGAGGCTGAACACGAGGAGGCTGAACACGAGGAGGCTGAACACGAGGAGGCTGAACAAGAGGAAGCTGAACACGAGGAGGCTGAACACGAGGAAGCTGAACTCGAGAGCTGAACGCTCTTTCTTTCATTTGTTGTATGTATGTGTATTGGAGTGCTTTTCCTTCTTCTTTAGCTTTTTGAGCTTGAAGTTTTTGCTTCTCCATGAAGATTTGATCTGCTTCCTTGTTTGCATTCAGCATCTCCAGAGCTTCCTGTTTTTCTTTCTCTGCCTTTCGTTCCAGCTCTTGCCTCTGATATAGAGTTGAGAAAAATGTTTATTTCAATAAATGCATTTCAAATTCTATATATAAACCGTGTGATGCTCATAAACCCAGCATCACTGTGGTAAAATTAAGCAATAAGCCCCGCGAAGCCGTGTTTTACAGTGGAACAGCTGAGGGCCGTTGTTAGGCATGACGCGGAGCGGAGATTTAAAAATGTTTACATGTCGTTAGTCTCATAGCATAAGTATAAAAACATTAGGAATAGGTAATTTACCCTGGATTCTCTGTGTGCAGAGATAGATTTTAACATGGCTGCATGTTTTTCTTCTTTCTCGCGCTGCACTCGGGCCCGTCTGGCCTCACGTTCAGCGACTGCTTTTGCAATGATATCTTCCTCATTGCTGATTTTTTCCTGCTTCTGCACGGCTAACTGCTGTATAACAGTCCCTCTAAGTCTTTGACGCTCTCTAAGGCAAAAATAAAGACAAATACAAGCCCAGTTCTGAGACAGTGGAAAGAATTATACTTTCTCCAGGCTTCCCACTCAGTGAACTTCCATTAATTCAATAACCTTCCCAGTTAGATGTGATTCATGAATGAGCAAGTTGTAAGAATGTGGATGTCAAATGGTATGTCAAAGTTCCCAAAATACCTTTCACAGACAAATTAAAGATTGGAACTGGTTTGCAAGCATGTTTGAATTTGAAACAAACACTTAGAGCAGTTTCTAGTTGATTAAATACACCCGAATAACTAAGTTAGCAAAACTCAAATAATTTGAGGTAATCAGTTACATCAAATTGTTTAAGTTAAGAAATTGAATGTGTAAGTAAGCAGAGCTTGCAGATTTTTGTTTTGTAATCATACATTTTAATTGCTTTTAACTTGAAATATTTGAGTAAGATAATTCATACACAACTTAAAATTCTCATGTAATCTCAACTTCAATATTTTTAGTAGTGGAAACTTGGCTGGATTTAACCAGCTAATTCAATAAGTGCTACCTATAGTATCAGCATATCATAGCCCTTGCGGAATCAGTACATCAACTTAAAACATTTAACACATACTGTTCTCAAACCAAACTCGTCACCGGCCATGATGGTAACTCCCCAAAAAACCCAACATAACAGAAACTCTTCTAAACTAGCATAACAAAACATTAAACACTACTAAATCTCCCACTTAACATTAATCTGGCACAAAAACCATTATATGACACTTAATTTTAGCATTTACTCTCCCTTTTGAGTGTCATTGCAAAGCATGCTGGGAAATAAAAATCCCAGCCCAGTTTCAGTTAAATTTAAGTTTGTCAAAATTAAAAGAAACAAGTTCATAGAACTTAAAACAACGAAACAATTCAACTTACTTAAAATGTGTCAGTTTTGTGAACTCAAAAGAAAAAATAAATGTTAAAATATTCATAAAATTGTAAGTATCGTATGTTAATTTGATGGAACTAATTTGTATAATGTGAGTTGGCCCTACTCAAAACAATGGATTATTTTGAGCGTTAGGGTTTACAGTGTTAGGAAGCTAAAAATACAAATATTAGATGAGAAACTTTAACCTTGAACTTAGAAATGTTGCCTTGGCAACTAATTGAAATAACATTTCACTTTGTAAGTTGAAGTACTAAAATTACTAAAACTGAAGTAAATATAAAATAAAACTCAAAAGAAATAAAATTAAAAAACGGGGAAAAATGACAAAAGCACACAATTCTGAAAATAATAATAAAAGGTCATTCAAAACATTGCTAAATACTGTATACTATAAATAATACTAAAATATCACTGGAAGCCCATGATCTCTAGAGATTCACAGTTTTAAAGTAACAAAAATGCCTAAAATGCGCCCAACGTTATTTTATCTGTTGTCTAAGCATTTAATATATAAATGTTAGTATGGGTTGGGTGTTTAACATAATTAATCAGCATGCTGTGTTTTTGATGCGTGTTAGCCCTCATAAATGTGCAAAAATGCTCCTGAAAATAAAGAAGTTAATTTCTGACACTAATGAGTGTGATTAATATCCACCACAGGACACATTTCCATTGTCTTATGTACAATACCTAAATGTACAATACCTAAATGTTTCCTCCTGTTTTTCTCTCCTCATTCTCGTCACTTTTTCGCTCTGGCTGGCGATCTGCTTTCTCTTCTCCTCCTCTTCCTCTTGCCTCCGAGCCTCCGCTGCTTTTGTCAGCTCTCTGTTGGTCAAATGGTCCTGATGGAAGACAGAAGAAGGGATTTCAAAACCGCATCTGATTCGATCTGCTTTTACAGTGTGAATGTTGTCCAACAACCGGCTTACACGAAAAGCATTCATTCTTTTTCTCTTCACTTCTCGATTCTGGCGCTCTTTGATGGCCTGTTCCCTCAGATGAAGATCTCGGAGTTGCTTCATCTCTTCAGCCTCCCTTCTCCTCTCCTGCCTCTCCTGCTCCTTCTTCATGTCATGCTCCTTAACCCTAATAAAGGAGGAAACGTCAGACACATTGACACATTAAGGTGATTCCCAGCTAACAGGGAATGTTCTCAGAACTTTAGATACGGTTCTCTCAAAGTTACGAACAAACGTTCTTCTAGTAACATTATGTTTGTTCAAAGTTATCTGGTCTTTAATCATGTTCTCAAAACATTAACACAAAACAGAACTTATACATAATTCGTGGAGTGTTTTTTTTTACAGAAAAAGTAACAACATTAACATAACACTACTTTCCATTAAACTAACTAAGTAATACAATTAGTTAATTTTAACGTAACACAATATTGTAATGTATTACTTTTAAAAGTAACTTTCCCCAACACTGTTCAAAAGTAACATTCCCACAGTGTTTGAAGAATAAAAATAAATAAAAACATTTTAAATGTTGTTGACACTTTGAACGTTAAGGGAACATTCAGAAATAACATTTATATCTTAATTGGAACGTTATCAAAAAGTCCTTAGAGCATATTTGTGTTAGCTGTGTATGCACTGAAGCATAAATGCACTTTAATTTCTCCTTACTGTAGTTTCAAGCACTCAGAAATGGCCAGTTGGTCTCGTTTTCTCTGCAGTGCTTTCTGTCGCTCCTGCTGGACCGCCTGCTCTTCTCTGCAAGCCATTCGGGCCAAGATCTCTCTGTCCACGGCTCTGCTGGCGTTCTGCCTCATGCGCTTGAGCTCGATCTGAGCCTCTCTTTCCTTCAGGACCTCCGCCAGCCTCAGAGCGCTCTAGAACAACAAGAGGATCGTTTCTACTAACATTTCACCACAGAAAAACACTTGTGGTCTAATAACGTAAGACACACACATGGAGGCCTTTGACTCGGTCCGTCTGGTGGTACTGCTGGGTTTTAGTTTTTTCAATTGTCTCCTTTCGTATCTGGGCCTGATATCTTGCTTCTTCTATGTCCAGAAGTTTTTTCTCCTCCTCTTCCATCGCCTCTCGAATTGTTTTCGCCTCCAGCTTTTTCCGTCGTTCTCCCTGTAAGGACAAAATCAGATTAGTTTGTTGTACTTTGTTACTGTAAACATCCAGTCTCATATTATAACCCTCAGAGACCCAGGTATTCTTTTATTTATTTATTTTTAATGAAGAAAAACTAAAATATCACATCAAGATGACATTCAAATTACAATTTAACATTATACCAAATTGTAACAAACTTAGTATTATAATAGGGGCACAGACACAAAAAGAAAATCAGACAGCGAGAAGTCTAAATAAGGCTATATAAAAACAATAAAAGTGTCTGACAGGTTCTATAGACAGACGTCTTTAATAATCATAATAATTTATAATTTAAATAAATTATTCTTATTTCTTAATAAAGACTCATTAAAAATGCCTATTTTCTTCCTTAAAAGTGATTAGGTCATTAAAAAGCATGATGTTTACGCATATATAGTTTTAGGAAGTACGGAGCCCCGCACAATAAGAGAGCTACAAATGCAGTAACTCCAGTGCGATGCTGTCACTCACAGCTATGGTGTTGGGCCAGTGTTTGACGAGCTCTTTAGAGCGCATGTGCAGCGCCTCCCGCTGTTCAGCCGCTGCGTTGGCACTTCTGCTGTGCCGATTGACTCGGTCCTGGACGCGCTGCCATTCAGACCTGGACAACACCAGGTCTGCTTCTGGTTTCTCCCAACTCCCAACTGTATGCATTAGACAACATATTTCCAAGTTATTATAAAAACATTCCACCGAAAGGGTGACATTTCTGTCCCCAGGTCATTATATGTATAAAATTGCATGAAAATTAACTCTAAAATACATTTTATTATTAAGCAAAATGTCCTGCACATTAAGCTAACTACAAATTTAAAATGTATAATTAAAAACATAAATAAAAACTACATAGAACACTAAAAAATAGCATTTTCTGCATGTCCCCACTCTCGATCTCTAAACTTTACCATGAAATATGATTAAAATCTATCAGAAATCAGATTTATTTTTTGCATTGTTGTTTGATTTTATATCCAATCTATGTTTTTAAATATTTTATCTAATATTTTAGATAAAATACATATTTTAGTCGTGTCCCCGGGTTTTCACTCAGTCCTGTTTTAAACCGAAATTTAAAAAGCAAACATAAGTTCACAATAAAACGAAATAAAGCCACAACACAACAGAAATAAGCCACAACACAACAGAAATAAGCCACAACACAACAGAAATTAGCCACAACACAACACAACAGAAATAAAGCCACAACACAACAGAAATAAGCCACAACACAACAGAAATAAAGCCACAACACAACAGAAATAAATGAGTTTCGGTAACAGGACTGAGAAAACATGCGTCCATCTTTTGCTTAGAAACCTTGTAAAAATTAAATAAAGTTGCCTGAGATTGAACAACAATACACATTTTGAATAGTTAAATATGCATAGTATTAGATTCAGTGTTGAAAAAAATAAAAAAGTTTCATTTTGAAAAGTTACAATAAGCAAATGGTACATTCATGTAATGGTTACACAGATATTTTGTTGTGTAGTATTTTCTTTAAATACCTTGTATCCTCGAGCCTGTTCTCCGGCCGTTCTGGACGACACCTGTTCTATCTGTTGCCATTTTTCAATAGATTCGTATTGGTATATTGAGAAGATGCTGTTGTGTGTTGGATCCTCAAGATGCTGTTCAACGTTGGACCAGACAGTGTATATAAGGCTTGGACTCGCTGTGTTCTGACTCAGGAACCCCGCCTGTGACGTCATAGAGCCTGTGCCTGCCTGTGACGTCGGGGGCGCGCAAGATGGCGTCGTGAGCACCAGGCAGTGAAGCCACCGGAAGTGTTCGAGCGGCCATCTTACGATTCCCTACCAGCAGAGGGCTCTGTAGCTCCGACCATAGACATAATAAATGTATTTATTATGTCTATGGCTCCGACGACCCGCTGTGCAGTATACAAGTGTAATACGACGTTCAAAAAAGGATGTAGAAAATTGCCGACAGGTTGTAATACAAGCCATATACATAGTAATTTACAGGCACAACTGTAGCTATTAGTCTTTTTGACATGGTGTTTGGCTTTTAAACATAACTTCTCTCCTCACTCCTTTTTTATTCGGAATAATAAGTATTACAGACCGAAGAAAAACATTATTTTTAAGGGATTGGTTTGAATCTGATATACTATTAGTTAGTCAGTTGTTGAATTCTGATGGTCAGTTTGAGTATTACTGAACTGTCTGAAATTTAAGTGTCATATTTCTGTTAAAGAATATTGTATTTTCATGAATTCTATTTCTGCCAAAATGGTATCTCTATTCAGAAACCAGGGCTCTAGGGGTTGTAACACTGCAAGTTAAGTCTCCAAACATTTGTTTTTAGATAAACTTGATTTTAATAATGACAAATGCAGTAACCAACAGATTAGATCTCTTTTTGTCAGTATCTCTTCTGCTCCATCTCTAAATTTGTTTGGGTTAATATGTTTCCCTCATTTGAGTGGGAGTATTTTTGGGGAGTTCTTAGTCGGTATTGTTGTATATCAAATAAAACCAAAGAAGTGTCTTTTAAAATTGCTCACAGAATATATCCTGTGAAAGACACAGAACGTTTTCATCTGGATATTGACTACAATTGCTGTTTTTGTAATTGTGAAAGAGTCTATTGTGCACTTATTTTTTTAATGTCCCTGTTCTTCAATCTTTTGGTATGAGTTGTCTCAATTTCTAGGTGTTAAAATGAACTGCAACCTAGTCTTAAATTTGTCCTCTGTCTTACTTCATACAAATGAATTTGACTTTTCTAAAATAAAAATGTATGTTATCGATTTGTTTATATTATTAGGAAAATGTCATATTCATCAAACTAAATGGAGTAACTCAAAACCCAACTTTGCTCATTTTAAAGCAGCCTTTAAAATGTATTTTGTGTCTGTAAAGTTATTAAAAAATCGAAAAGCCCAAAGATGTGTCTCTGCTAAATGAATTTAATATGTTTGTGATGCCCTTTATCCATTCCTTTGTTTGTTTCTTTTCTTTTCTCCAAATTATTGTTTCAAGTTATACTTACCAAATGTGTAAAAGAAATGTGTCAAGAACTTGATATCAAATTTTGTAAATTCAATAAAAAAAATACTGGTGCGGTCGAGCCGTGGGGCCGCCATCTTAGACCGGTCACCCGCTCCACTCAGTGTAATCTGTATGGCAGGTGCAATGAGCTATCAGCGCATTTAATTAATCATACCTCACTGAATACCAAACTGATTTTTCACGCGGGGTTTTTTTCTGCAAAGGTCATTCATGTAGCTATGATATAGTACAGGACACATGGTTCAGCGTATTTTAATATTCATAGTAGGCTTAACAAGTAATATAATATTCTGATATAAGATATAAAGTGACCAGACGTCCAAATCAAAATATGTGATGTAGGTATTTTATAAAATCACACACTATAAATATGCTAAAGAAGCAGAAACAGATAGTTGCAGTAAAGTAAGATATTTTAATAAGTTGAAAAAACAATAATGATTTGTGACACACACACACTCGATTTGCACATCGCCGTCATGTGTGTATTACACAGGTAAGTTAACGTTATTACATTGCTTCCTGATATCAAACACAAATAACCTATATTTATACTACAGGGCTGTTGAATGCTTGTATCTGATAACCGAGAAGCTCTTGTAATTATTACTTTACCCCACCTCTCCATGGCGGGTGAAAATTTCAAATGGCACTTAAGAGGCTTTTGCATCTGAACTCTTCATATATATATATATTATATGCAGTGCAAGATCCAGACTACATGGCTGTGCAAGTGAGCTTATAGTACCTGTGGTGTATTCTTTGAGTAATATTTGGCCACAAGCTCTGGAAGGCAAACTTTCTCAAAGAACTTTTGTGCATTCTGTAGACGTAGATCCCAGAATTCCTGGTCTGGAAAGACTCGTACAACAACAAAGTCCCCCAGAGTCCAAACAGCAAAGTCACAGTGGTTGGATCCAGTGACAAAGATTTGCGTCTGTGTCTGTGTGTAATAACTATGTGTTTTCTTAAGGGACAACTCGAGACAGAAGTCTTTGTCCTTTGTTTCTAAGGCCTGTTGGATGCTGCATGATCTATATTTGAAGGGACACTTAACTTCAAGGCAGCCTTTCCCACAGCAATCACACATTGTAAGTCCATCAGGAGAGGCTCCAACTTCTGGAAACCTGGGGTTAATTATAAAACCACACTCGGCGACTTTTAGGTTTGTGTGATGCGGGGCTCTGGTGGGAAGGTAGGTCTTTTGAGCATCAATCTCGTGCTCTATACCCCATCTGGTGTTGTGGGTTGCACACCTTTTTAACAACAGTCAGGGCTGGCTCTTCCATACTGGTGGCAAAGACTGCATATTCTTCCAGTCCGACTTGCATACCAAGCAGAAGATTTACGCTGTTGTCTTGTGCACATTTTAATAGCTGATGCCTGCTCATCAGTCACATTTGCAGCATCCCTGTATTTCTCGCAGTGTAGTTGGATAGATGAAAGGTCATGGGAATCTATTATTTTATCACACAGATATGTTGCAAGGGACTCGGGCATTCCAGAGCTGCTGTGTCTGTGTACAGTGTGTAATAGTTATTCATACCTGACAAACCAACAGCCTTCCTCAAGCAGGGGTGACAACTCATCAAGTTTAGCCTTTTTTTGGCACGACTCCTAATGCCTGGCGCAGTGGAGGGTGCAGTTATGCGCTGGTCAAGCATTTTTTTTTTGCCTAGCAGATGAGGTGTAGTCAATCTTGTATCCCACTTCAGCTGTGATCTTGCTCAAATTGCTGGGCAAAACCCAGTATGCTGGTACGTCTGTGACGGTTTTTCCCCACGAATCCGAAAAGTAGCCTCCACTTTAAATAACAGAGCACCTACATGGGTACATGTCTCTGCTACTCCTGCCATACATGTGCAGTGTGCACACTCCACCTTTCCACGGCTGCTGATGATCACCCATGGCTTTAAAGGCGGTTCATTCAGTCGCTGAGAGTGCATGACCTTAACAACAGACAAAGACAAAACAAATGTGAATATTGTAATGTTAATATCTCTCTGAATTTTGTTGTTTGTGGGTGGGGGTGGGGGGGCTTATCTTAGTATCACAGACGGACTTATCTTCAATGGAACCATTTATTTTCAAGTATTACGGCTGTATGTTAATGGCATCTTTTTATGAATGAAGGTCAGTATCACTGATATTAAAGGTTGTATCAGTGATTTCTGGCCCAAAAATAAATGTCTAATCTTTCCTAACGATCCGCTAGCTGCCCGCCCCATAAGCATGCCGTCCAAAAACCGCGTCTCTGTAGGCAGCGTAGGCTCTGAGATCTGCACACAAAAACAAATGGGTAGAACCACCACTCAAAACCAAAATAAACAGTGTTCCAACCAATCACTGACAGGGGCGGGTGTTGCTCCGATTTCGCGTCCAGCCGTGCACGAGCGCAAAACCTCACAACACCCGCCCCTGTCAGTGATTGGTTGGAACACTTTATTTTGGTTTTGAGTGGTGGTTGTACACATTTGTTTTTGTGTGCAGATCTCAGAGCCTAGGCTGCCTACAGAGACGCGGTTTTTGGACGGCATGCTTATGGGGCGGGCAGCTAGCGGATCGTTAGGAAAGATTAGACATTTATTTTTGGGCCTGAAATCACTGATACAACCTTTAATATAGCTACTGATTTTCCCACAAATTTTAAACATTTATTAGGCTTCAACTTTAAGGTTTTATTTATTTATTTGTATCGTTATACAAGCTTGTGCTGTACAATGACAAATAAACAACCTTGTTGTCGGTGTCGTAGTCTACAACTAACGTTATGCTAAAAGAACGAAAGCCGGTAAAGTTACCTTGATTTATTTATTTGTAATTATCGGTATACAACCGTCTTGTATAATGACAAATAAACAACCTTGTAGACCTAATATCATGATTGTAATGTTGCCGGTTATAGAAACATGCTAAAAAGAAAGAAAGCTGTTAACTTACCTTCGTTCGGACGGACGACAGTGTTTTCACCGTTGACAGGCTTGCAACTCTCCAGGTCATGTACCCAACCATTGGTAAACTGAACGTGGGCTTCCAGAGACTTATAATTACGAAATTGCTCAGCGGTATAGGCACTGACACCACAGACAAAATACGTAAATATTAGGGCCGGGACTTTAACGCGTTAATTAAGATTAATTAATTAAAGACTTTAACGCTTTAATAAATTACACAAATTATTTTAATCACACTTAGTTTTGCACCGCGGAACGTTTCTCACTGGATGAGTTTCGGCGGACCGATTATACTGGCGCACCAACTAGTGTTCATGACGAAGAAGCTGACGAGATCGCTTTGGTTGGCCGGTGGATGGGAAATTTTGTTATAAAAAGCGAATGGATGGACGCGTCGATAAGAGCATGGTTGTGTGCAAGCTATGCAACAAGGAATTCGCTATTGCTATTATGGTGTGTTCACACCGAACGCGAATAGAGCGTCAAATACGCGTCTATCGCGTCTAGTTAGACGCTTGAACATTCGCTCGAGTCCAAATTTTTCAACTTGCGCGGAAGACATTCGCGGCAAACGCGTCGCCCAATCCTTGTCATTCGAATGATGCGTCTATTCGCGTCTTTGCATTGACTTTGTATGTAATCTACTCGCGCAAATAATTAAATTCACGTTCGGTGTGAACACACCATTAGTGTAGTGTAGCAATATGCTATTGCTACACTTAATGGCAAAAAGTGCACTGGTCTGCTGGACTTGGTTGAACAAAAATAAACTATTTTGTTGCTTAAGCTTATGTATTCAGTCATTATTCAATAG